TATTTTTTTTAAATTTTTTTTTTTTTTTCCCCCCCCCCCCCCCTCCCTCACTGGTTACGCACCTAGTTGCAACAAATAAATAAATTTATTCGATTAATAGAAAATGTCAATATAAAAGAATATACCAAATAAATATTTTTTTATTGAATTCATTCTCTTATTTTACGAATTACCTATTTCATCGAAGGTTGCTTTCGAAAAAATATCAAATGAATACTATAAAAGACCAATTATATTAAGTTAAATCACCAGTGGCTTGAAATAATTTGATTGGCTTCTGATGTTTGAACAACATCAATATTTTAAAAAATTCTGTCAGAAGACAGCTAAGCCATTTTGCTAGGTCACTTGAATTTACTTTAAGAGGATAGTTTATGTCATGAAATGGTTTACGATAAAATTATTAAAGGCATTTGGTTAACCTTCATGATAGCTTATATCTGTTTTCTTTCGTACAAATACATGTCAAAATCTACATTCTATTTGATTTTGCAGGAGTTGAAATATATTCTTCAGATTACTTGCTTTCTTCTTCACAAGTTATAAACTATCATAAAAAATAGAAATAGAAATCTCTATCGTGTTTTAACGACTTTACAACGTGACCTCGTTTATAGTGCGATTTCTTTTTATTTATGATCTTCGAATAAAATAATGGATAGATATGAAAAAATAATTTTATATCGTTGATTTTTTTTCTCATATTGTGAATCGTTAACTACTTTTAGTTTTCTATTTAGTATAAAAATAGTATCATATGAATTCAATAATAAATGATGTAAAATACATCCGTGAATAAATCACACAGAATAGTTTCATAATCTGAGTATGTAATTAAAAGTTCTATGAAGTCTCCGCCTGCTTCAACAATAATGGAAATTGAGATAAGTATACGGAGGTATTCTTCAACATCTAAGCTTTTATAAATAACAGATGTTTTTATTCAGTAACCAGTTCATTTTTTTAAAACTTTAGACTTTCAATTCCGCCATTTTCTGCTCGAAGAATAAGCCTTTGTTCACAAATAGCGAGAAATTATTTTTGTCTTTTCTATTATGGTGTAAACTAGAGTTCTCAATGGATCGTTATTCTATAATTAATATTATTTTGTCTGCACGTGCACGCAAAGATGAAAAGTGTGGCGGCATTCTTGGTATCGACATTAACATTTCTGGCTATTCTATAAGACAAGTACTTCTATACATAGATGAAAAATTTTTCCAGAGCTTATGGAACATTGAACTTGTCGTACTTTTCCTTGACATGAAACGTAACAATTGAAAAAGTGGAGTGTGCCTGTGTCACAAATTGAAAACTACTTTCAAGTTGAGAGAAATATGAGTATGTGTAATGGATGTACAAGTACAATATTCGGTTAGCTAATGAATTTGTTTTTGATCATCATCTGTTTAATATCTCTCTGAAACATTAAATTGAAAGGCTGAACATTTTTATCCTAATCTCGCTATTAGATTCGAGAAAAGTTGGAATGTTATTTAGAATTCACTTGGTACAAAGTCAGTTTCTTTTTTTTAGATAACTTTCAACTGAATTTTATTTTTTGATTTAGAACTCGGATTCTTCAGTCTTTGAAATTCTTTCTGTTAAATTAAAGAAAAAGATAAATACTCATTGTATCAACCCATATCTCTTATTCATATTTATGTTTCTAATTAAATTTGTGCACCAAGATGGTTTACATATAAATTTTAAATTTTAAAAGAGTAAGAATGAACTTTTTTGAATTCATATATTTCTTTTTACTTTACTACTATTTCTCCTTTGTAGCATAGCAGATGAAAAGTCTAATCTGATTTTAAAATATGATGATGACAATAGTAAAGGTTATTTTTAATAAAATATGTTGTATTTTTGCTAGCCGGCAAAAAACATCAGCTCAATCATGTTATTTTTAATGAATAAAATAGAACGTGAAGAAGGTCAGCATGTTGTCAATCTAAGCTTCTGACGGCAGCCAATAGACTACCATTTAAACTATTGTCTAAGATATGAGCATCTGGATTTTCTCATGTTTCTTTTCAAGCTAAACAAATTTATTTGTTTAGACGAATATATGTATATATCAAGAAACGACGGCTGTAATACACACAGTTAAACGAAGAAAAAAAAAACGAAGAAAAAAAGAACTAAGTAAAAATAACAAAGACGGCCGTGGTTTGTCTATCGTGAACGAACGATACCGGAAAAAAACAAACAAAAGTTAAACAATGAAGAAAAAAGAAAAAACCGAAAGAAAAAAACTAATCGGTTAATATTTTCATGTTGTTTTCTTTTCATAATCTGTAATCTATCTACACTTACATGTATATATATATATATATATAAAACAAAAACTAAACGGATGAACACATAGTTACACAGACATTTTTTCTTTGAAGTTTTCTCTTAGTATCATAGACAAAATAAAGAAACAAAATTTAATGATACATATGTGCAAAAATGACTTCATATTTTTTTCCTTCTTTGTAAAATAAAAAAGAAATGAATAATGATATGGATCATATTTGTTGTTGAATCATTCTCTTCAAGTCTAAATATAAATAAAAGAAACTCATATAACGTTATATGAGAGAAGAAAATAGCATACGTGCAAATTGAACAGAACACGCGTGTAAACTATCACGTGCTAAATCAAGTTGCTTTTGTAATAAAATAGATGTCGTTTGCAAATGTTGATTAAGAAAATTCATTTCATTGCCCATCATTTGTAATATTTTTGAAAGCTGCAAAAGAATAAAAATAATTTATTTCGTAGATATAATAAATGAAAAATGATTCTTTTTATCAATGAAATTTTTAAGGTTTTCCACCTCGAGAAATTGACTTATCGGTTATAATTTTAATGAAAATATGTCATATATATATATATATATGTTAGGGTTGACTTCAAAAGGCAAACTAGTTGCCTTTAAAATATTTCTAAATAATTGAAAAGAAAACAACGAAATATTTTGATTATTTCGATTTGTTTTAAAGTCAACTAGTTGCCTGTTAAACTCAACCGAATTTTAGAGTCAACTCCAACATATATATATCTTGGTATAAGTTAAAATTCTTTTGGAAATTGCTATTGTATCTCAATATCAGACATTGTTAGCGTTGAGAGAATCATTAAGTAAATTTTATGCACTTACATCATCAGAACTTTCATCAATATTCTGTATAGTAACAGTTTGTTGAGACTGCTGTTGAGGGAAAATACCAGATGCTGCTGTTTTTATAATAGTTTGTGGGTGTTGTTGTTGCTGTTGTTGTTGTTGTTGCTGTTGTTGTTGCTGCTGCTGCTGTTGCTGTTGATTTTTATTTCGATTCTTTTTATTTGACTTGTTAGATGATGAATTAGGCGTTTGTAATAATTTAGATCCATCAAGAAGTCCTATTCGATTTTTTTTATTTGGTGATAAAGGTTCATTAGATGTATCTTCTAAATGCTCGTCTATACTGCGTTGACGTTTATTTGTTGATGAATATTGAGCAATAGAATTTGTCATTTGTTGATTAAGTAAAATATTTTCTGGTATCGTAACAGAAAATTGTTGATTTGATAATGTATTTGAATCGTGTTCATGCTTAAAAAGTAAATTTTCTATTTCATTTGTATTTGTATGTGATGTTGGTAAACCATTATCAACAATAGTCGATGTGGTTTGTGCTTTTAACATAGTTGTTGTTGATGGTAAAGAATTATTTGCTGATTCTGTCATACGACGTTTTTCAAGACGTGCCATACGTAATAATGGTTTACGATCAACTGGGGATGCTATTCGGTGAGTTTTACGTAAGTGATCACTCAGATTAACAACCCATGTTTCACAATTCGGACATCTAAGAATGGAGAAAAGTAATTTTTTATTTTGTATTCTTAATTTAGATTTTACCGTAAACGAGTTTCATAATCATTTGTCAGTGCTTGATGATTGACATTTGCTGTTCGATCATCGTTCGGTGATGCTCGTTGTTGTTGTTGTTGGTGATTTGAGGATGAACTTAATTGAGATGAAGTTGGGAGAGATTGTTGTTGTAAAATTGGTTGATCCTCAAGCTGATTATTAGGATGAAAGGTAAATGTTGTCGGTAATGATGTTGCTAATGGCACATCGGGCATAAGTGACTGAGAAAAATGAACCATGACGTCTTTCTATATTAAACTGTGACTAATTATTCATAGCTATCTGAATTTAAGAGAATGTAAGACAATAACAGAAAAGAAAAAGATTTATATACAACGATGAATTCCATCAGACTCATTACATCAGATGCAAATCATTACAAAACAATGTTCAATAATTTAATAAATAAAATTTCCATCATCGGAGTATCGTTGTTCACACGAGAAAAACAAAACAAAACAAAATGATTTAATATATCACTAATTACAAGAGGAAAACTGTTTTTTTATTTCATTGAATATTTAGAAAATGAATCAAGGTTTCTTTTTCCTTAAATAAACAAATAAAAATGTATAGAAATATGTTTAACGAATAGTTAATGTTGCTCGGTAAGCCATTACTACTCAACGATAAACACCAGCTAAAAACGTTTTTTTTTATTTCAGCCATTAATGTAGACTTCTTCTCAGAATAGAGTATCAGTATTTGGTTGATTTTTTTGCCTGAAATTCTTTTTGATTCTAAATTGAAAAACAAATATTTTCTAGTATCAAAATGAAACGGGAAAAATGTTTGAAATGATACAGGAATTTTTATATCGATATAGATGTCACTATGAGATTGTCATGTGAATGCATTGGATTATTTTACTGAAATTTAGCATAGAGTTAAAGAAATAAGAAGTTTATTTTTCAATATTAAGTAATTCCGCGTATGCCACAATTTTGCAATCATTTAAAGATGGGTTCAATGATCTAAGATATTATTTGTTAAAGTTGAGAAAAATTTTGTGCGAAAAAAAGCGAAAAGAAAAGACAAATTTCTTAAAATTCTTGAAGTTTAGACCTCAGTATTTCAACTGAAACTGAACTGTTTAAGATTTCTAAAAATAATTGTGACTTTTACTTAACCAGAAAATTTTAATTTATTATGATGATACCTTCTAAAAATGAAAAGCACTTTACTTTGTTGGTTGGTGCCTTCTCGTCCTACTCTTGTTTAACTATATTCACTCGTAATTCTATGTGAAACTTTGAAGTATTTTTTTTCTTTTCATCTTACTAAATTTAGCGTAGAATATTTTCTTTCTGTTTTTGTAGCTATCAACCTTGCCATACATAGATAAATCCTTTATTAGTTCTTTTCTCGGCGTATTAAATTAATTATTACAATAGAAGAATCCATTTTCATTTCATTTCGTGTTTTTCCTATAACTGTATTGAAATATACGATAAAGGCTTTAACAACTTATTTTTCCAGATTTTATTTGTCATGCACATATTATACTAACTATTTCAATGTGAAAGTAAATCGTGACAATTAACAAAATTTGACTTACCCGAAATGGATGATTGTTCGAGCTAGTCAATATGATGAATTTTACTCAGGCTATATTCTGTATTTTAAGAAAAATCAACTCAACCATGGTAATTACCTTGCGTGTTTCCGATCTAAGTCAAATAATGTCTATCCAAAAAAAACGTACTTCAGTTATAGAAAAAATTGGCCAACTGCTTCGAGGCAAGAGTGTTTTTAGTCTGATTTGGTACTTGTAATCTTAAACATTACTTAATATTGCTGTTTTCAATTTTGTCTTGACGATTGCCAGACTCAATGGGTGGCACTTTTCTTTTGGTCTAACGGAATTTCAATGCCAATGTGACGGGAACAAATGATGACATGACAAATGTGAAGCCCTTTTATAATTATTAGTCGATAGTATATTTTAATGAATCGGTGAACGCCGTGGTGATGATGAACAATATAATTTCGGTGAGTATAGTCGAACTTTGAACTTAATAAAAGATGTATTTCGTTCTGCACTTGATGATGTGGGTCGTCAAACTTACAACTTGAGTAAATATTTCTCGAAATGTTTATATTTAACTTAGTAGCAAGTTCGAAATCCGTAAGGTACATAGAATGGAAAGAGTAGTTAGGATTGCTCATATATGGAAATTTCCAAGATTTTTATATCGATCTTGGAAAGCTGCGAAGCATTTATGAACTGAAATTCTAATGACACCAAGACTCAGGGGTCGCAGAAGCGGAGGGGGGGGGGCGTGTAAACCCCCCGATAATTGAAAATTTTCAAGTTTTCCCGTCGACAAGGGTAAATTTTCTGTACTTTTTTTGCTAGGCTTTGTTGAAAATACCCTTTTAGGCCACTCCCCCTCCAATCTTAGGTCCTTCACACGGTCCGTGCCAAGACTATCTAAAAAATGTAAAGGCTATGTTTTCAACGAAATAAATTATTTTATGTACGTCCATAAAACTGTGTTGAAGAAATATTTTGTTCTGTTAATAAGATATTAGCTTATACTCTTAGCTAATATCAAACTACCCAAAGATGTGAAAGGAGTATTGAGAATTTTTTTCTCTATCCTATTATGTTGTGTAATATCCAGCAGTGTCCAAGGATTGAGAAATAGGAATTCATAATGTGCTGAAGAATTGTCAGTGTAGCTGTGATAATTCCTAGAGGAAATAGGAATCAACAATGGGTTTCCTCACAGCTTCACCATTCACGAAAGTTGCGATATTGCTGTTTTAAAAATCATTTTTGCATGAAATCGTTGACTCTCTCAATTTTGCAAGTGAAAATGAGTGTAAGAACAAAAATTATCGTGAATATTCCATATTTTTACCGTTAGTATGCAAGGAACTGTAAGGGAACTGATGAGAAACTCCTAATCCTCAGTCCATGGACACTCCTCGATACAAACGTGAACTCGATTGGTGAAATTACTATTTTGCTTCATGCATTGGCTGATCTAGCTCAAGCATCTGTGTAAATGCGGAAAATCATTGAATTGAGTGAATTCCGTGGTTTTAGTTGTTGGGATTAACAGCTGACTGTTCCTTTTTTCTTTCATGCAAAATGCTTGCTTAAATAAATAAATACATGTCACACGGGTCGGTTCATTTCAAGATTTGTTTCCTTTCAGTTTCACGATCGCCAATTAGTAGAACAATCTATATTTGACGTTGATGTCAAGTTTATTTCTAAAGATTTCTTTCGGATAATTGATTTGTTTCATACTTTTTATTTACACACAAATATATTGGAGAAAGTCCAATAAATTCTTAATTTGCTTTTATATAAGTATAGGCGAGGGGAAAAGGATTAACTTAAAGATGGGAAAAGAAAAAAAGATATGACGAAAAATGTACAAAAAAAAGCAAAACGAAAAATCCTTAGAAATAAACTATGACACATAAAGATCTCTTTTAATTGAAATAAAATCCCCGTTCTTTACATGCTGTCATGAGACGAATTTTGAGAATTTCTTGGCTTGAATAATCGGGCAATTTAAGATAATGATAACATGTATTTACTGATGGATATGAATTATCATCGGCTTCAACTTTACGAGCTACAGCTAAACGAGGTCGAAGATTCGCAAGACCTAAATGAATATATACGGACATAGATTAGGAATTTCTCAAAGCCAAAAAAGAAACACAAACCTCCAGGTGGTAATGAAGAACAGCCAGTAATAAATTGAACAACAGACTTTCTTTCAAGACCATCAAGTTCCAACATAACATTAAGAAATTTGGTAAAACCAGGGCTGTAAAAACGACAAAACAAAAAGTCAAAAGATGAAATAAAAGAATGCAAATTCTAATAAACCTTTCTCGTGTAAAACCATGACTAGGTTCAATATAATTAAGTAACTCTTCTAAGGTCCACGATGGCCATTGATTACCACACAGAAGAAGTTTTAATTCATGTGAATTAAAACATTTTAAATGTTCTATTGAGAATACTTGATTGAATCCATCTGGAGAAAGAAAAAACACGAAATATTTATTTAGTCAATAGTGAAAATTTTCTTTTACTTCGAAAAGCATCCATTTGACGTCGAATACCATCACGAAAAATAAATTCTAAAGATAATTTAACATATAGATCAACATTATCAATTGTCACATCCTAAAAATAAAAAGTTATTTTATTAAATTATATTACTCCGAATATCTCACTATGTGTGATCCATTTGATATTAAATCTATTGATTGATAACCATAGATATTCGATGGTGGTGAATAAACAAAAGTTAAACTAGAAAAAAACAAAGAGTCAGAAACGAAGTTCTACTGTGAACTATGATATAATTATTGTTACCAATCACAATTTTACGAGGGAATATTGCTGAATACATATTTGGTCAAAAATTTTGAGTATACTTACTGAGAGTGTAAATAAAGTATGACACATTTGACCTCTGGATTACTTTATTGGTATAGAGCACTCTATTTTTCTTGTTACCATCAGTAAACAAATGCCTCTAGAGACAACTAAGAGCTCCTTTTCTACTGTAAACAAAACAACGATAAGGAGAAAATATCCCGGAGAACATTACAGAAGTATGTATTTCACCCTTTGACTCTTAATGAAGTCATTCTTCTTTTAACATCAAGTATCTATACCAAACGAAGTGTTCAGTGTGATGATTTTGTACAATTCTATCTCAGAAGTTCTAGCCATTCATAATATAGCTGATGGATTAGCCCGAAGGTTCAAAGTCTCAGTTGTAACTGTAATAAAAAATCTTTTTCAAAAGAAATATTTAACTAATCTATGCGAAAATTTGATTGAAATTTTCTTTCTAACTCTGCATCTCAAGAAGATTGCTTCTGGGTAGTCTTTCGTAAAAAAATATGAAAAGCAAAAACATACCATAAATGTTCGAGATCAACTGATTCATGGTGATCATTGTCTACTTTTAATTGTGAGCATAAGCGTTTCTTTTCATCATTTGTTTTACTAACATCATCAAGTATTTTATTACGTCTATCAATTAATTCATAGAGTTGTTGAAAGAATTTTCCACGTAGTGGTTCAATATCAATTAGATCAGTTAAATCTAATATACCATCGTACCATATATTTGAATCATTGCTATATTTTGATTTCGTACAAAGTAGTTTAAGAAATGCTATTGATAATGGCATATCAATTAAATATTTATCTAACAAACATTTAGCAAAATAAATTCCCATCAATGAAAAATAATTGCACACAGTATCTAATCTTTCATCATTCTGAGAATATGGTACAGGAAAGAGACCTTCTAATTTTCTAACATAAATTGTTTGATTTTGCTCATGATCATCATGATGCCACCATAAACCAAGCGAATGCTTTTGTAAATCACTAGCAATTAATGCATAAAATTCTAATGTTGGTCCATCGCCAGTACCTTCTTCATTTAAAAATTGAATTTCTAATTTAGCTTTTGATTGCGCATGATAATGAAATAAATTCATAGCATCACGTAGGATATGTTCACGATCGATGGGTGTTGCACGATCGATTTTCAAACGACCTAAACGAAATTCATGAACGAACACATTTGATGTTGATGATGAATTTTCATTTGAATTCGATGCAGCACGAAATGATGATAGTGTTGTTGTTGTTGCTGCTGCTGTTGTTGAACCGCCTAATGGACGTAATAGACCGCCTGTACGTGCAGCACGAATTAATTCATCTCGTCGTTCTTGTAACCATACAATTGAACGTGATGTACCAAAACTTGTTGTACGAAAATATAATTGTCGAGTTTCAAATGGATATAAGAATTTATATGAATGTGTTAACCATTCAGTCCAGATTGGTAAACTTGACGATGCTATGATAATTGAATCTTGTATTTGTTGTAGGAGTTTATTATTTAATTTTTTTGAATAAAAGTAATTCTCCAATGAAAGATTTTCATCTGCATGATATCGATGAGGATTATTTTGAACATATGCATTTGATAAATAAAATAATTGACGTAGTAATTCAAGAATATCTTCAATAGTACAAACATCTTTTGGATCATTTGAAGTGAGATTTGTAGATGATGATTTTTGAATATTTTCATTAATGATTGAAATCATATCAAGATCAATAGGACAAGATAAAAATGATTGAGATGTCTAAGAAAACAAAAAAGGAGAAAAATTTCAAACTTTCGAATTCGAATGTTTTCTTCAGATAGTGAAAGATTTGACACAATGAAATTGAATACTTACATCTGATTTTGATTGTTCATTTGATTTTTCAGTATAGACAATTCTAAACGTCAAGTAGAAAACGAATCAATCTTGATTGTGATTTTTGAACAATATATATATATATATATAATACTTACGTATAAGTTGGCTCGAAAATTCTTTTAATACGTTCAGATCTTTGTGATGAGGGGAATGGTTGAATCAGTTGTTGAATATATTTAAAAATTGTTGCATCTGAATCATCCATTTCAATATCGATTTCTTTTAACTAAAACAAGAAATATTCAATCGTAATTACATCTAAAGAAAATATTAAATTAAAGAAAAGTAGCTGGGTCCATTGTACTAGCGATTACATATTGTTCATAGTCTCGATTTTTTCTGTAGCGATACACTATCATTTACTGATTTTACTCTGATTATGCTGACATTTCGTCTTAAATAAAGGAAATTTAAATTTAAATACGAACTCCTGGTAATTCTGGTGATGGTCCACGAATATATAAAGTCATATTAGCAGCAGCTAGTGTATCTGTAGTAGATATTTGTTTCGATGAAGTTACTAAAAAGCAAAAAAAATGCCAATGAAAATTTTAATCGAAAAATTTTACATTGTTTTGGAGTCATTGTTGTTGGTACTGGGATATCTTGTGTTGCATTTATATTTGTTCTACCGGGTCGACCATCAAATGCTGGAAGTAAAACTTAATGAAAAAAAAACAAGCAAACGATGTTTTACTTCATTTGAATTAATTTTTATAAAATATGTATACCAGAAAATTGTCGTTTCAAAACGAAATCATCGTCCCAATTTCGACGTGTTAGGGATTGTTGTTCACCATGAAGTTGTTCTTGTAGTTGTTCATCGTATTCTTCTTCTTCTTCCTATTAAAATAAAAGACAATTTAAAGTTAGATAAACAAAAAAAATCATCTAGTCGCAACAGAAAAAAAGAGTTAATTTTTGTTAATCAGAAAAGAAGTCTATAAAGTGCACATAATTAGAATAATCACCTGTTCATCAAATAGACCACAATGCTATTAAAAATTTATTATATTTTTGAAATTAAATTGAATCTATTTGAAAGTTAACAACTTACTTCATCTTGTTCGGCTTCTTCTTCATCTGCTTCGTCTTCATCATCGTCTTCATCCTCTTCTAAACGTGAAACAAGAAAATAAATATATTGAAAACTATTTTACTTTACCATTAGTATCCAACGGGGGTTGAATTTGTTGACTATTTAATTTAGCACGTTTTAAATGACAATGTTCATCGTCTTCCATATCTTCGTCTTCGCTTGTTTCATCATTTTGTTTTTGTTGTTGATCAGATAACGGTATTTCAGATAAACTTTGTGATTCTTCCATTGGCATTGATTCATCATCAACCATAGCGTCTTTAACAATATTCAACGTTGTTGCTGCTGTGATTGTTAAGTTTGGTGAACTTTGTGCAGACGTCAATAGATTTGATAAAGTCATATTATTTGGATTGGTTGTAGAAAGATTCGGTACACTTGCGTTCATGTCATTCTCTAATCTGAAGTTTAGAAAAATAAGTAAATTGATTTGTTGTAATTTAAATAGGAGTATACGTACAATATAATTCGTTGTTCAGAGCATTCACTGGTAGCATTCTTTTTATTATTTTCTTCAGTTACAGCACACATTGATTCAACTAAAAATTCAAAAAACAAATTGATAAATTTAACTATCGTTCTGAGTGATTCCTAAAGGTTCGCGTAGATTTAATAGAGCAATGATGGAGCTATTGAAATTTGAGGTGTGAATAAATGAACCGTCTCTTCAGTAGCACTCAAATACAATTTGTACGAAAGGTCTTGATGGCTTCTTTACTCATCAGATTTTAATTATAAAAAAATGTTCTCAGGATAAATTAGAGGATTTACTTGATTCAGTTGTACTACTAATTGATTGTCTTGAGTGTGTCGTAGTTGTGATTGGCGTTGTTTGAGCTGAAGTAAAAAGTCGTGTATCACAAGTATTATTTTCATTCGATGCATTCGACGGCGTATTATTGTGCTTATCTTTTGGTTCATCTGCAAATATGAATGATTTTAGTATTAAAACAAAACGCACCATCTAATTTTATTATTAACCTTTCGATGTCAAAAGCGTTTCTTCATTATATTCTCCAAGTTCAAGCCAATTACCAGCATTTGATGTATTTGAACGAATGGGTGTTAAAAAATCTTCTGCTGATGATGATAACCAAAGTGATGATGTAGGTTCTTCAATAGTTGGCTCTAGTTGTGTTTGAGCAACTAATGCATCATATTGTCGTGCTATTTGGTCACGAAAACCTTGCATCAGCTATTCAGGAGAAGAAGAAAAGAAATTTAAAATCATTGAAAAGAGAGAGAGAGAGAGAGAGACACTCCTTACATCTATTGTATGTTCTGTCGTACGAGATGATGATATTAGACTTTCGACACTCGACGCTTGTTCAGTTGATGAAACTGAAAATATTGGTTCACCATTACTTATATTCGGTGTTGAAACACTTTTACGTTGTGAGATTATATTAAGTAAATTCTAAACACATAATATTTCGTTTTCATAAAGAATAATATTTAATAAATGATTTACTTACCGTATTATCATTTAATATTGTATCACCAGTTAATCGCGAGAGAGTTTCTTGAATAACCATTCGTAATCGTTCTGGATCATCGGATTCAAGAGCTTAAAAGGAAAAAAAAAGATGAAAAGTTCATTTTCTTTCGCTACTTATTTTGTACCTGTTGATAAATCAATTGGTATTGATGAAAGATCTATCATTTGGTCAAATAGAATTCGATCGATGGTTGATGCTGAAGATCTAGTATTGCTTGCATTAGTATTTGATCCATTTGAATTTCCTGTTGATGATGTGGCTGCTGTACCACTTGTGCGCATACTTGCTAAACGTCTTAAGATATGTGATTGCATTTTATTTGCACGATTACTAGCCGATGATATTGAATGATGATAAGATGGAACTTGACGAGAGCTTGTTGAGCGATTTCGGTTATCATCACGATTTAAACGAGAACGAGTTAATTCTGATTCTATAAGAAATGCAAATGATGTTAATTGTGTAATAAACACGAGGTAGAAAAAAAATGATCATCTATTCATCAAAGAACAGTGACCTCACAGTGAAATGAAATGCCGTTTGATAGAAGAATTGCTATAATCAATTTATTTCTATTTGTAAAAGTTTTAACCTATACGTATATCTCGTGGTTTGAATCAACTATTAGAACTCCACTATAATAATTGTGACATTATTTAGCAGTTATTACGAGTATATTTACTTTCGGTAACAGAAAAAGATTGAGAAAGCTCTTGGTTAGAACTTTCTAGATCCATAGCGTTTAGTCAGTAGAGAAAAAATAATCACTTACTTGAACGAATATCAATAGCTGAAATAACTTGTCCATAAAGTTCGAAACCAGCCATAGAAACAGGATGTCGACCAGATTTTTGATGAATACGTATATATCTGAAGCCTGTTGAATTATCATTTAAATTATTTTTGATATTCCATGTTGCCACTGATGAATTGGTATCATTGACCAACGATATGTCACATGTTATAAAATGTGCACCATCTTTTGATATTTGAAATAGAAAACTTCGTGTCCAATGTGGAAAACCACCAGTACTATGTCGTAATGTAAAATGTGTTGGTAAAACCCATAGTCCTAAATCGAACATAACCCAAGTGCAACCATGATATGTATCATTAGTGTTCTCATCATCATCTGCATGCACCGGATGTGAAATCATTTCTGATAATTGTTGAGGTGTACAATTATTATCTGAACACGTGACTAAAATAAAAAAGATGCTAATTAAAACATTGATCCGAGTCATGTGGCAACAGTAGCAAATTAAAACCTTAATGCCTATCAACCTTTAGATTTTACGTATCAAGTTTCCGCGAAAATTTCCCATTGCTAAAGAACTCGAGGAAAGAGTATTCTGCTTGCTTACTAAGAAAATGTACTTATTGGCATTTTCCCATTTTGCAGTTAAATCTTGACTAACTTTAGATTTTTTTTCGAAAAATAGTTGCGTTATTCACACTAAGCTTGGTTTTCATTCTTTTTTTATACCTGAAATAAGTCCGGTTGAATTCGGATTCGTATAATTCGATATTGTTCTAGCATTAGTACCAATCCAGTATAAAATTCCATTGTGATCAAAATCACTGGCATATGTAAATTGCTGTCGACCATCAGTTTTTAAACGTTTAATAAATTCTAAATGTGTATGAGGATGATCATACCATTGCTTTGAAACCTATTGAAATATAGATTTATTTCGTTTTATCTTTCGTCGACAATAAACAACACTTACCATTGATGCAAGAAATGCTTTCAATTGTCCGACTGTAGCTAATGGCTCAATTTTTAATGATTTTCCAGTTCTATCAGTAAATAGCTGTTGTCGATTTTGATAATGAAGTTGAAAACGAAACCGTTTGGAAAATATCTGTAAGCCGTAACTCGATGGTGTATCATATAAAAATAATGGTAATTTTTCAATAGATTCTAATATTGATACAAGTTTGCGTATGAGGATATAAAACGCCTGTGGTTGTTCATCGGATAGAAATATCAAGGAAAACAATTTCGATCGTTCATTGGCTAGATTAATTTCATCGGAGGATTGATCAAGTAAACCATGAAATATTTTCAATAAACTACTAACGAGACCAGATGATGATAATTCATATAATGATAAACTTGTTTTTTCAATTAAAAATTTTTTTAATTTCTCAAATGAATTCAAACTAAGATCATTATTTAAATCGTTGACTATTGCTTTGAGTTCATTTAATACTGAACGCGTATAATTGGTTGGTGTTACATTTTTTAAATAATCATTGTAGATAAGTAATGCTAATTCTGTTGTACGATGTTTCATTTGTTCTTGTTTTGTTTTGCCTATTGGAATCGACAAAGTTTTTGCTACTGAGCTATTTGATGAAGAATCGTTCGCATTTGTTGACGCCGAAGAATTCAAAGATTCAATTGTTGACCATGGTATTGAAAATTCATTGCCTAATGTTGACTGTGCGTGGTATGTATGGCGAGTACCACGATTTGACTCGAATATAAAACCTGGTTGACCTTGTTCAATAATTGTTACCTAAAAAAAAGTTGAAATTTATATTGAATAGTAGAAATATTTTTCTTCTCAATCATACAAACAGCAAAGTCTTGTAAATAATCTACAGTAAATCAAAGGTATGCGCCTGGTTTTTCCATTCAATGATTCAGTTATGGAAGGTAATGTAGACGGGATAATTTATATAGATTAAAAAATGGGTTTCTACTACGCACGAACTGATAAATACGAAAAAACAAAACTTAAGAAAACAATTTTTCTCATGGTGAAGTTAAATTTTTGTCAAACAAGTTTTATATCATGAAATTAACATTCTTGATTATCGACTCTCATGTTGACTCTTAGTGTATGGTCAATTTGTTTCAACAAATCCCTCTAACACCAAAAATATTGTGAAAGAGGCGCATAGAACGACATTCATTCACCAGGATTTTATAGTTATGATTTATGACTCGCAAGAATCCGTTCAATTAGTTTATAATGAAAAATTTCATGAGAACATAATCATATTCGTTTTTAATAAATCTAACACTAACCTGTTCTCCTTCAACATTGTGAATACGAAGTTGTGTTGATCCATTACATTCAAATGTCCAATGACCCACCGTTATTGTACGTTCATTACTTGTGTCTGATGTAAAAAGCGTTCGTGCTATCAACAGTTGTTGTTCTGCATCGATTGGTTTAATATTTTCATCATTTTTATCATGTTCTATATCATCGAGTACTTGTTGTTTTAACCGCTGAAGTTTATCAATAAAATCATGACGATTTTCACTTGTATCTACATTTGTTTCTGGGCTTCCTAAAATAAAACAAAAAAAGAAAAAAATGAAACTAAAAATTAAAATCTAATTTACCTGAAGAATACATTGTTGATAAAGAATTATCAGCAAAAAACCTAAACCATCCATTGGAGCCCATTGATAATTCAATAGCAATTGAAATATTCCATAGATATAAACATTCTCGATTTCGTAATATGTTAAATTCATTCCAAATATAAGGTCGATGACAAAGAATTTCTTTAGCATCAACGGCAAGAATATCAATCGATAATGACGAGTGTGGCTGTTGATCAGCAGCTATATTTGTTATTGTTGATGATGGCGTTACCGGATGTGATAATGCCAATGATGTTATTTTCCATATTAAACCTAAATATTGAAATTGTTCTAGAAATAGATGTCGATCTTTTTCAAATAAATTTTTAATAATCAATAAAACAAGATTCGATGTATCATCATCATCTTCATTTGTGTCCAATATTGAACTTAACAATTCAAATAATGTTGTTAATATATTCGTTTCACCTTGCATTAAATACACACGTATTTGTTCAACGGTTGCATAATGTAATAATTTTGATACTAAACGTAATGTATTACGTTTAATTGTTAATATCATTGTATTTTGATATAATTGACAAAATATTGATAATAAACGTTGTAAATAAATCGGTTGCATTTCAATATCACCTTTGATTTCATTCGTTGTTATTGTTTGCTCAATAGATTTTATCGATGAATTAGTATTTGCTGTTGGTGTCGGTTCTTGCCGTCGTATATCCGTCCATTCGTGAGCTGATTGAAGAATTTCAACAACTTCCTGATGGCCTTCATCTTGGCGTTCACGTGCTTTATCTAAAGCTGTTCGGCCATCTTCATCACGTAAATCAACATTACCGCCATACTTTAATAGTAGACGTACGATTGAAGGTCGCCCAAAACAAGCTGCATAATGTAATGAAGATGAACGTTGGCCACGATTAACATCGGCACCACGTCGACATAAATATTCAATCATTTCACGTGTACCAAACGCAGCAACCCAATTTAACATTGTTTGACCAACATTATCAGTATAATTAACATCAATACTACCTTGTTCAATATGATTTATAAAACCTTGAACATCACGTGAACGAATAAATTCAATAATTTGTTGTTGAGAACGATCTGATGGAATAATGCCACTGATTGTTGATGATACTGCTGCTGCTGCTGCTCCCCCTCCTGCTGCGATTGCTGACAGCAATGACGATGATGATGCACGTCGGTTTGTATCAATAGTTGCACTCGTTATTGGAACAGAAACATTTGTTGTTGCAATTGCTGTAATCGATGCCCGTGCTGTGCCTACTGGACGTGGAAGAACTTGACGTCCTAAAATAATTTACTTGATAAATGTTTTTCTCTCAAAAGAGTAATCATCGTCTCATTAGTAATAGCAAATTCAATTCAGTTTTTGATCAGTATTACTCAATTGTATACTATCTTATTTTGATAGAAAAAGACTTTTTGTTTTCCTTCAATTTATCATCTTTAATGAACTAAAATTAGAATAAATTTGTTTTGACTTAATTACAATCAGTCATTTTTTTGTTCAATCATTAAAACCATCTTAAACTTTGCTTTATTTTTTAAATCATATTTTACATCTATGTAAAATTTTTCGAGATTCATTTCCTGAGAATTCCGTGTAGAAAGAAAGTTCTTTCACAATTTCATATAAAAAAAGGTTCGGAAGTCCTGAAGCGCTTCCGAATATCTTTCCGACATTATTTATGTCAGAAATGGCTTCTTTTTTTGCCGTGAAATTCTTTCTAAAGAATGAACGTAGTTCAATAGACCTCGTTTTTCTTTAGGCACGAAGGAGAAAATTTCAAAAGCTTTTCCCTTTACATATCAAGAAGCATAAAATTTGTTTTGATAGAACCATAAGTAAGATTAGAATATGATGTATGATAAGCTTCATATGAAACAGTATGTTCTATGTCTTTGATGATGATAATAATAATGATATTTGAAAGCATTATTTGTGTCTACTATTCATGTCAAGAAAGAAAAACTTTCGATCGATAGACCTGAATGCATTTGATTAGATCTAACTGTTGTATTTCGATTTTCATTGCATAGTCATTCGATTAGTGTATTTTTTTTCTACAATTTTGTTTGATTCGTAAACAACGAATGGTTACGTTTTAGTGGTCTATGTTCCTTAACTAAATCAAAGATTAGGTTAAGTCCATCCTACTTAGTACTAAGGAATAATACGCACGTCAAGCATAAATTGATTACTTATAAATAAAAACACTAAGGCTTACCCTCGAAAATTAATACAATAAGTAGATCAAGAAATCTCATTGTATCAAGTACACATCTTTCATCGCCACCACACAATGCTGATTCTAATGCATCAGGAAGATCACTTCGAAGTAGATCACGTGTTACTTTAGCACTACCGCGGCAAAGTGTTGATAATAAACCTGTTACAACCGATAGGTTTGTCGTAACACCGCGTGTATTCGATCCTGATAAGGGTGCATTATGTGATCCCGTTGTCTCAGTATTTATTGTTGATGATGATGATGATGATAATGATGAAACGGGAGTTAACGTATTACCCGTTGACTTTGACACATAGTGTAATGATCGAAGAAGAACATCTTTCAAACAATAACGCATCAGTGGTTCTGGATCAACATTTTTTCTTGCGAATCTATTGTAAGAAAAACAACATGAATAATAGATAAAATGTTTTTTTTTTGTTTTCTATGAAAAGTTCAACCTGTCAGCTAATGTTGCAAAACATCTTAACGCATTATCCGATACAAACGTATCGACATGTAAAAGTAAATTTGATAATGATTCAATTGTTTGATCCAATGTAGGAGAATTTTGTGGGTCAATTTTACCGATTAATTTTACGACAACATTCAATGCAGATTGCAAAGAATCCTTATGTATAACTGAATACCAATTGTTAATAAAATCAAGTACACAACGAAGACCATCTTGTTCATATATATTTGATGCTTCTCTTGAGCATAAACGTTCAAAAACTTTTATTATTTGCTCAGCTAAATCTTTATTTGTACGATCTTCAATATCGACAACCTGTAGACAAGCACACATTGAACGTATAAGAGATGCATGTTGCGTGATCTTTTTTGCACAATCAACAGATACATCAAGGAAGTATGTTAATGCACGTGCTGTCACTTCAAGTACACGTGTTGGGGCTAATGGATCACTGAATATATCACAGAGAGCTGAAACAGAAAAAATTTAAGAAATTATTTTTTCTTCTTCTTCTAAAATATGTTAAATTTACCAGGAAGGAAAAGTCGAGGTTGATACCTAAATATCGAGAAAAAAGTGTTTCACTAATGACAAAAAAAGACACTTACTGTTCAAAACATCGATCAATATTATCGCACATTAATACCAACATACCTAAAAATAAGCAAAATGAGTATTTTTTCATGGGTGGATAAAACTACTACTACAAAAATAATTCTCTCGTGCAATTCTGATTAATCAAAGTCAAAAAACTAGATCATATTTTCCCCAGATCTCACAATATTTATAGTTCGATTAGGGAGAAAAACGATTCTTGACATCATAGTAAAATACGACGAACAGACAAAGTGATATCAAATAGTATACTCAACGTTGACAATATAGTTTTATTTCTATTTCAATCTTAGATGAAACCGAAGTAAAAATCGAGTTTGAACGAAAACTTGATTTAATTATTCAGTATACTACTTGATATAGATTTGTTTGTTTACTTCGAGTATGTTACATATCTTTATGCTATTGGCAACAAAATTAATTCTTTCAAAACGTATTCCTGATTACATGATGAAAAAAAGATCTAGAAGAAATTTAGATAAATAGTTTTCGGTCTAATTCAATTGCTACAGACCAATTAAACTGAACCTTTACTGCACAAAAGAGATCGAAATTCTAATGACCATCATTTAATCCAACAAAGACAACAACGCCTTTTTTTTGTAATATTTAACTTACAAAGTTGCTCTAGCGCAGATATTTGTAGATCCCGTTCGCCACCTCCATCTCCTTTCAGCCAAACTAATAGTTCTTCTGGATCAGCTTCCATGATATAATTCTACTGTTACTGTCACAAAATCATGACTCTATCGCATTTATATCTAAAAATTAATAATGATAAAAAATGTTTTTTTCATTAAGCCATGCAAGTGAGGGAAAGAAAAAATTCTACAATATTATATATATATATAAATGACTACATCTGACATAATAATAGATAACAAGTTAACCCCTAGAGATTAAAAAAAAAGAAAGATAATCTGACGAAAAGAAATCTGCTTAATAACAATCATTCATTGTAACATTCGTGGATCGATGTGGATTCAAACTACTTGTTGATGTACATCGTGATAATCCAGTTCGCCATACATGTTCTATTGGTTCAAAATCATTCTCGACATCATAATAGTGATAAGTATTATTATATTGAGTATATACAACAGATGATTTCGATTGGTTAAAACTTCGTTTAAAACGATAATAATGGAGGGAAATTTTATCTCCGTCGATATGAAAATCTTTTAAATCACAACGCATTATATTATAATGAATATCGCCAAGTAAATAACCAGAATCAGGTTTTTGAAATTCAAATGTTATTGAATAATTAATTAGTTTGTTAGTTAATGGTTTATCATAGAGATCAATATTTGTATTATTTAATTCAATGAAACATGTCTGATTCATTTGCTTTACACAAAAAATGCTTTCCTTTTCATTCATACTATAGATAATTGTTTTTTGACCTTCTTTAATGATATCATCAATATCAGTTAAATAAATATATTTATCAAAATCATTCGATGACCGAACGAATAAGCCAACATTTCGAAAATATTTTTGACGTGCAAATTCAACCCTTGAAAAATTCGATGGACTTTCTAAATGTATACGACCAAAACTATCAATTGGTAAACTTGCAATTACATGAATCGATATTGATAATATTAAAACAAATACAACGCCAACCGTCGATATTGTATTGAAAAAGTAGGATAAACGATCTTTGCGTCGATAATCATGACGTATCAACCATTTATTAAGAAGTATAAATAAAAATCTTATGAATGCAGCTACAATACCAATAGCTGCTTTAGCTATACTAACGTATGTTACTTCACCATCATGACAAATAACAATAAGAAGATTGAGAGTTAAAAATGGAAAATCTTCGAGCCATATTGTTAAACAATTGGTTATCTGACCAAATAAAGATGTTAAACGATTACTACATGTATCACGAACGGTTTGAACTATTTCAAGCAAACTTGTAAATGTTGATATTATACAAAATATCAACATTGCTAATAGAATATCATACGGTGGTGGACCAAAAACAAGACCCTAGAATAATAATAGTATTGATGATATTGTTTTATGTTTTTATATTTCAAATGTTCTAGTTACTTTTAGAATGGCTGTTTTCGAGAATAAAAAGTACCAATCAATAAGTAAATCGACGATATTTAGTGTACAAACTATTGTAAGTACAGTAAGTTTATATGATCGTCGACTAATTAATCGATGTAGCCAACGACATTCAATCGGTAGTGAATTTCGTTCAACGTTGTAAATATCGGTCATCGGACGATTATTTTTCGCCATCTTAAAAATATCTGTTTAAATACGAGCCGTTTCTATTCGATTTTTTTGTACAATCTGTGTTTTTTAGTTGAGTTTTTACTTAGGTCAAAGTATGTGATGTGATCATCAGCTGTTGGCCTTTCGATTGCCATTTTCGCTGTAACTAATCCTCTATGATTTTAATACGAGAAAATAATGCAGTAGGCATACGAGAGTGACATCTGTAGAAACGTACTTGATATCATGCTTCATAAATCTGTTTCTCTCAATGTACTGAATACACGAAATCGATTTATTAATCTCTCTATTATAGCATACTAAAGCGGTTGAACTCTCAATAATATGTGTTATGCATGTGTCGTATGCCATAAATGTATCAAATATTTATTTGATTCATGACTTCAAGTATAATAGGATATATACTTTAGAATTCAAACTATATAAAATAATCTTAATTGAGAAAAACGTCTTTTTTTTAAACGATTCCTAATTAAATTCGATTACCAAACCATATAAAAAGTTGATTTCCGTCATAAGTATCAATGAAATCTATGGCTTTAGGATCTGTTGATTGTTCTTGAAGCAATTGTGATATGGGAGTACTAAAATTTCTTCGTTGAACACTCCATGTAATATGTAAACTACGTAAGTTTTTCATACGGCGTAAAATTGGATAGACCGTATTCGGATGTGACATTAATGCTATTGTTAGATGTTGACAATTCATTGAAAAAATACGAACAAGTGAAGTAAGTACACGTACACTAACAGAGCGTCGACTGTATCCATCAACAAAATTCGATATAGTTAAAGATTCGATTTTTCGAGATAGCTCATTGCAAACAGTTTCATTGCTAAATTTATCTGTTACTATTTTTAAGCTAAAAATCGATATTTTTAATGATCGAAGATTAGATGCATTTTGAAGTAAATGTGAACATTCAGTTGGTGTCATATGTACATTCCATCCAACATGTAAACAACGTAAATTTGTTAAAAGATCAATCCAACTCGGTAGATTAACCTTGAGAATAAGATGAACAATATTAGAAGAAAAAATCTCAGTATGTGGCTCTTTACATTTTTCATGTAATACTATCGTATTAATTTTACTGTAATAATGGGTTTCGATTTTATCGGAATCATTGAATGGTAACGTAGTAGCACTCATATCGAACGAATGTATATTAATTGCCATAGATGAAAAGGCAAACGGTAAAGAATAAACGGTACCAGTGTTTGAGTCACATGAACTACGATCGTATCGTATAAACCAATGCTTTTCACTTAAATAAAAAGGTGTTGAAAATGATGCCAGTATTTGATTTATATCACTTGAAAGATAACGATATTGGCAGAATGGAAAAAAGAATTGAAAAGTCTTTAATAATGGTAACGATGATACAATAAGTTCTTCCCAAGTTCTACCATCAGGAATTGGACTGACTTTTCCTCTATCGTATAAAGTAAGTCTAGTTAATTGTGGCAGCTGTTTTAGTAATTTTCGAAGATCATCTCCATCTTCTCTTTCTGAGTAGAATATTTTAAAATGTTTTAATGTTCGTGGAAGTATTAAACTATGAGAGTGAGAACAATTGTAGTCAATTGTATATTGAAGATTTTCTAAAGTCTGAAAATTCTATAACGAAAAAAAAAACGCTCAAAACATTCGTCGTATTTAAATATATTCAGAGAAATTTATTCCGTTTACCTGTATCCAATTTGTATGCTTACACGAAGTGAGTATAAGTCGTTTTAATGATGATAATTCAATTGATTGAATATTCAATCCACATATCTGTCCAATCGATAATGAAACAAGATTATTCAAGGACCGAATTTGTAATAAAAATTCTTGAGCAAATCCAGGTTTCATATGTAAAACACTTAAGCATTCTAATCGATTAATATATTCATTAGGTGGAAATAATTGAGAAAAACATTTTATTTGTCCTGGTGTATGATCGTCATCCGACATATGTAATGATCGCCATCGATGTATATCATGTCGTTGAGTAATATAAGTAAATTTAGCTCTGCTAACTGATTTAAAATCAAAGTTAGTAACATAATTATTTAATAAATCCTCAAGACGGTAATTGAGTTGAGAAAAACCATAGACGACATCGACACCATTTAAATAACCAAAAGCCTCAAGAAAAAGCTCGTTAGGTAAGTTTTCTAAAAGGGTAGTTTCACTTTTAAAACGTTTTGGTTTACTCATATCGATTGGAAGTAGACATTTCGTACTTTTATTCTTTTTCTGCATTTAGAATAAAACGTGAAAGTAAAAAACGCAATAGCAATTGTTTCTTCGGGTTTCTTTTCTGTTCCCTCTATTTCTCATAGCGAAAAATGTGAATCATTGTGAGACAAAGATGCAGAATAGAAGAAAAAAACAGCGAAGCGATTCAAAGAAAAAGAAAATACATAGTCCAAGTGATTAGTTCTTTGGAAAAATCCAACTATGAATCACTCTTCGTTTGCCTTCGATACAGTCCAATGTCTAAATATTTTCAATTAAAGAGGCAACTATTAAATAATTTAGCAACGTGCAGTTTCCAACAAACATCAGAGTAATGTGTAAGAGTGTCGACCAGTAAAATTTTTATAGTACAAAAAAAGAATGTTCGCTTTTATTCGCTTGTGTTTGGTCTGACAGTTATTAGTATCGCTATTGTGTTTAGCAACATAATATATCGATCGAAAGGCATTATAGATGCATTAAAAATAGCAACCTTCTTGATTCACGCGTTCATTCACACGGTCTTTCTTCTTTTTTTTTTATACAGATGACTACTTAATAGATACTGTTGAGAATCAATCGATTCAATTTAATAACAAAAAAGTTTATTATTTGTGTAGCAGATGGACATGATTATACATGTCTTAATGAGAATATTTTCACATATTCTAGAAAAATGATTTGTATAATAACACAATATTACAAAACAGATCTTTTTAATTGCGCTGACAAGCGGTCTCAACGTGTTCAATTTGTATTGTTCATCCATAATTGATACAAATATCTGATAGTAGTTAGATTTTTTGTTCTAAACAAAACTGTCCTTAATTTTTTGCGAAAAAAAGAAAAATTCAAGCACAATAATATTACTTGCATGTTGAAAACTATAGAGAAGGCAATTAAATGAAAGCGGCTTGAAGGTAACGAAACATATGCATTTACATACTTTTAGTCGAGGTTAAAAAAAGAAGTGTGTGCCAACGATACATGATAACGAAAGAAGGTAATCACGATGAAGAAAAAAAAAATGTACATATATACGAAGCTATGCACTCATACCAACACTTTATCGAGAAAGAAACGAAATTAATAAGTTTGCATTTCACTTATAACTTCCAATTGAAACTGTTATGATGAAGAATGAATCTCGATTACAAATAGAGAGACAGATGAAGCTGACTATAAAAACAAAACGATGCACCTCATATCATCATGAATTTGATGTCTGTAATTGAAAAATTCATTTTCAACAAGAATAAACGGTAAATCCGTGATTCGTTAATTTTATTTATAAATTTATTTATGAACGTTCGTCGAACGATTCTTGCATTAAAAAAAGTACATAATATAGATACACATCAATTATTATATAGTAAACAACAGCATAATGACATGGAAAAAATGCGTAAATCATGCTAATTATAAAATTAAGAAACACAATCTGGCAATAAACACAACGAATACATCTGGAAAATCACCTGGTAAAGAAAAAAAAGAGAAACCTATAGTTAGCAAGATGTATCAGTACAACGTGAGCATTGAATTATTACCTGTAGACTATTTTTCGTTTGGCACGTGTCATAACAATAAATTCATTGAAAATAAAAATCATAGCTATTCGCTAAACAGTTGTAAATCTAAGGCTTGTAAAGGTGAAACGTGATCATATACAAGAAGAAATCACTTATTCAGAAAACTATCATTTGAAATAGTGTAAATTCATCTAAGATTAAATTTTACTGGAACAATTCAAGATTCTTTGAAAGATCTCACGCTGTAGAAAACAGCATTATCATCTATATAGAATACGAAAGTATAGTATTTCTTACTGTTATCGAATCCATTTTAAATTATACTAAAACGTTAATATATTCTAATATTCGTCGATTAATTTTTTTTCAAGTCATCTCATAGAAATATCCTTTAAGATAAACATATTAGATATGTCATTGTCATTTGAATTCCATTCATAGGTCAACTAACGTTTGATGAACATTTTGACAAATACAAATCGAATGAAAGACAGCCATTGACAAGCAAAACAAATTTTTCTTGTGAGATGTAATTAGAAAAAGCAAACGTCGGTATTTTTAGATGTTTTTTTTTTCTAAAATTTTTCATTCATTAATCGTCTAGTAAGAAATGATTTATTTTTGTCATTAAATTTTTTCCCCACGAGTGTGTGAAGCACGAATAACCCCGAGAAAAGCTTTTGGGTACTCACTATATGTTTTTCAAGAATAAAATATAGTTCATCGATCTACTTAAAATAAATCTCACTATATACTCATGAATAATCACAAATGACTTAATAAACAAAGTATGCATTGATAATTTTCATATTGTGCATTCTTTTTGTTTGCAAGAATACGAGCGATCGACGAAATCATTATTTGTATACAATCAACAAAAATGATTGACTACGCATATATCTTCAAACAGCAATGATTAGTTGCAGCGTAAATGTATTCCAATTGAAGAATTTGAACTGGAATGTATTATTTTTCATTGAAATTATAAGAAAAATCTTTGAAAATACATTTAACATACTTGATTTGCATATAAACTTCGTTTATCAGTATCCACATGGTGCTCATTATCATACATGATGACAAATGGCAAAGTCCACATTTTTCTTATCCTGTTTCGTTTATCTTTAAATTATCATGTTTCATTAAACAAACCTCTCGGAGTTGATTCTTATTAAAGCAAACAGAAAATCTCTTGAATACTAAGTCACTGTTGACGTGGCTTGATTATAACACAAATAATAAAAAACGTCGACGTTCTATTTAATATAATCTCAGTGTGAAATGATGAATATTCATCGAAACGTAAAGTCAATTATTGAATCCTGCGTGACAATTATACACGATACGGATTTCTAAATAGAAGAATTAAATTCTAGAACAATAGATCTATTTAAAAACGGAGAGATACTTATCATGATTGAGTCAAGATAGCCGTTTAGAAACAAGATGGCCGGATCAACACGAAAAATCTTTCGAGTGTCAATAACCTAAAACAAACCTATTTTCCATTGTATTTGAGGTAATGATTGATAATTTTATGTGATTTAATGAGATTATAATTTTAGGATAGTTTTAATTTTATTTGTTTTCTTCTTCTTCTTCTTCTTCTCGTTTTATTCAGCTCAAGGCCTCTCCTAAATTGATGGAAAACCAACAATGAAATTGAGCTGATAAAAATTTTAGGAGCGTGTGCTGATGACAAGTATACAGGACTGGGATTTGCTCGAATATCAAAAAGAAAAATTGAGTGAATAACGCGAACAGGGAAATAACTTTTACAATTATTCAAAAAGGGAAACGAAAAACAGATCTTAACCCATAGGTCTTGTTCTTTAGAAGATGGTTGAATATTGTAACTGTTCGCGAATAAATAACAATCAATGGGTACTGTTGCACTTATAATTTGTCATAGTAATCATCAAGAAGTGGAATACCTTCTTTCAATCCTTTACGTTTACGTATATCATTAACGATTTGTCTGATCTTCGATGATTCATCGAATGGATCTTGGTTCATAACTTGCCAATGATCAAAGACACATTGTGGAAAAGCTTGACCGCCTGTGTTTGAACGAAGATCAGCAGTGAAACCTAAGTAAAAAAAAGAAAAATTAACGTTCGATTTTTACTCATACAATAATAGAAGTTGCCCTACCGAAAGATTCATTGACAGGTAAATATGCTTTAACAACAAACATAGGTGTTCCAATGACTTGATTTTCATCGAATACGTGACCACGACGACGATTCAGTACACCATAGATACCACCAACAGCAACTTCAGGACACTAGTACAGAAGAAAAAAAAGACGTTTGTCCTGACTATCTAAGAATCAAGACTCAAAATTCTTCTTTTTAATCTTAGATTAAATTGTCAGTAGAAAAGAGAAGGAAATTTGTAGAATATTTAATTTGATTGACATACCTGTACTTCGCAAAGATAGACTGGTTCATAGAGACGTGGCTTAGCTGTAAGCATGGAAGCGTAGAGAACACGACGAGCAGTTGGAATAATTTGACCACCACCACGATGGATAGCATCAGCGTGTAATGTAACATCATGAATATCAAAACGAACACCACGAACGTTTTCTTCAGCGAGGACACCTTCTTTGGTAGCCCATTGAAAACCAGCAATGCAACTATCTTTAATTTCATTGAGGTATTGCACACCTTTAGTACAATCCATCAAAACATTTGGTCCGGTTCCTTCAGGTCCGAAACACCAGATTTTACGTGCTTCATTTACATCATAATCATATTTTTCATTCAAATAACGAGCACGTGCTTTGAATTCTTGACGTGGTGTTACATCACCTTTGTCAATATCTTCTGCTAAGCCTATGTAAATAAATTCGTGTTTTTATTTATCAAATAATAAATTATGTGATTCTCACCATCAGGCATGGGTCGAGCTTTCAAGAAGATACGATTGTGTTTGTTTGGTGATTTCGACAAGCACATAATATCTGATTCTTCAGATACGGTTTCACGATATGATACGACTGGATCAGAAACTTTGATTGGAATACAAGCATGATCTTCTTCAAGATCTTTCAAGCAAATTTCTAAATGTAATTCACCAGCACCAGCAACAATATGTTCACCAGATTCTTCGATGATACACTTTAATAAGACAAAAATATTTATTTAAAAGAAATTTAAAATATAAAAAACAAGAATCACTTACTTGGACCATAGGATCTGATTTAGCTAAGCGTTTCAAACCTTCGACCAATTTTGGTAAATCAGCTGGATTTCTAGGTTCAACAGCAACACGTACGACAGGGCTAACACTGAATTTCATGACCTAAAATATTTGACCATATCAATCAAAATGAATTCGCACGAAACTAAAACTACATACACGAAGATTGTGAGCATGTTCAAATGTTGTAATTGTACCAGTTTTAATTAAATATTGATCAACACCAACAAGACCACAGATATTACCACATGGTACATCTTCAATGGGTTCAGTATAACGACCCAT